CATCATCCTTTATTATTTTCTGATTTTCTGCCATATGAAAATGTAATGGGTTCATTCTACATTTCTGTTTGTACATTATTTTATACTTTTATACCACTCTTGAATCATTCTCTTTCCAAAAGGACATGGTTCCTTTTAGGACATTTATCAAGTAGCACCTACACTAACCTACACTAACAGGATGTTCATTGCTACTGATGTATCACTCTTGTAGGTCCTCTAGTTGTGTATAAATAAAAACAAATGTGTATGTACCTAAATGATATATGTTCACACACATGTAAACACACATTCCCTAGTAACTATTTGTAGAACTAGGTGCATATATGTATTTATACATGCATATATTTGTAAAACCATGAGCTTATAGCAGTTTTTCTAATTTCATTCCACTGTCTCAGGGTACATTCCAGCCTATTCCCTCCCTACATTTAGGAATATTATTTTCAGAGACCAAAAGTCATCACTTATCATCTTCAGTACACTTACTTGTTCATTCAGTGTTCCCAATCTTGTAGTCCTCACGCCTGTTTCCTGTCTCTTCTTGTTTCTCCTCATCGGATCTGTATCCTTAGCTACATGGTGCCCTGGCCTTCTCTGATTCCTCCCAACTTGTTTTCGTCATCCCCATGTCATTGTCTACCTTGTTGACTCCTCCACAATGAGAAGTTAAGAGGAACTAGAAAAGAAACTAGGGGTGGAAAAGAAGGTGAGTACCAATGAGGTTAGTGGGTAGAACTGGACAGACTCAAGCCCAGATGGAGTGTGTAGCTGGAGTGGAAAAGAATCTTGGGACACCCAGGTGACAGATGAGAAGGGCACATGGGGGTCTCTGAGAGATGAGGCTTACTACTTCTTCAGAATATATACTGAATTTTTGTTCACTGGGTATGTGGTTCATTAGAATGTAGGTGCCATAAGAGCAAGGGCTCTCCTTGTCCACTGTAATTATTCTTGCTGACAACCCAAGCAGATTTTGGAGGTTAGAAAAAGAAGACTGCATTTAATCCTATTTTTGATGAGGAAAGACATCAAAGGCCTTCGTGGAATGGTAGAGACATGGTATAAATTTTAGCAAGATATCTATCTCAGGAGACAATGAAAATGATAGATTTCTTCTGAATCATTTAGGGCTGGAGAGACACCTTAATAGCTTAAGGCACATACCATCAGGCCTGAAGACCTGAGTTCAAACCCCAGGACCTACATGGTAGAACTCCTGTGGGTTGCCCTCCAACCTTGACATGTGGGTTGTGGCATGTATATATACATGTGCATAAGTAAATGGAAGAATAAATATAAATTTTAAATTGTTAAAATGGAAAGGTTTAGAGATTTGTGGTGATGTTAGGAAAACTCTACATGATTATCTGAATTTGAAGGTACACAACTAAAAATGTCATGACTTTTTTGTTTTATGACTTTAAAAAGAGAACTTAAATTTCTAAAGTACATTTTTTCTCAGAAAAACAATTTATCATCAATAGTTGACATCTTTGAAGTGCAAAGAATATTTTCCTGAAATACTGTCATCATTTCTAAAAGTTGCTTTTCTCCTATGGTGTCATAAAGCATTTAAAAATGTTTAATTCTGAGTGTCTTAACTTATTCATTTCTACAATGCAGGGCAATACCATGGTTAATCTCACATAGTCATACTCTATTAGTGTTTTTCATAAATATTTTCATAGCTAGCTATAGATTTCATAGGGGGCAGAACCTTAAATACTGATGATTATGTCATTGATCCCCATAAATTGGTCTTAAGGAGAATATTCAATACTGGCTGGTCTTGAATGTACAATAGTCATATTTCAGTTCCAAGTGTTAGGATTCCAGGTGCGTGCCACCACACTCACTGGTCTTCCTGGGTCGAATGCTTGTCAGGGACTGTTTGAAACATCATCCTACTGAGTCACTAACAGGTTTTCCTGTCACTGCTCCCGCTCCTCAATGGAGAACATAGGGCACCAGGGGCAGAAACAAGTGATTCCATCAAGACAGCACCCAAAGCCTTGTTTTCATTTGTATTGAGTGCTCCATCTCACCCCCAGTTCCCGAAGAGGTAACTTGAAAGACCCATGTATCTACATGCAGGGATTTACACTCAAGGAGAGGTTCCCAGGGATTGGGAGCCACTATTTCTTTTAAGATTTATTTACAAGTGTTTGTGTATGTCTGCATAGAAGTGTTTTGCCTTCATGTACGCAAGTGTACTGTGCATGTCCCTGGCACCTAGGAGGTCAACAGATAGACCCAACTTCCCCGGAGCCAAAGTTATTATAGTTGTTAACCATAGTGGGTGCTAGGACCCAAACCAGGCTCCTCAGCAAGACCATCAAGCATTTTTATCTGTCAAGCATCTCTCCAGTCTGGACACCATTTTTATATAAGTGACAAGATTGCTTCCAGCTAGGGGGAAGATGCTGCCTCATTTTTCAAGGTTACTCTCTGAAAATATAACTTAAAAGGGGTGGGCAGAAAGATTCTCTTTCTTGGCATCTCCTAAAAGAATGTGCAAGGAAGAGGAGGGCCTGTGGAGATTTCCAGAACACAATGTCAGTGAGGAAAATACATAAGCTCCTAAACTGAATTAAACTAAATCTAAAACACAGTTTCTTCTGGGGGAAAAAAAGTCAGAAATTTAATTAAAATCTGATGCTTCATTTCTGTCTAGCTACTGCTGAAGATACGGTTTGTCATCATAATATTGACGTGCATGGAAGCACAGTTGAGAACTTGGTGGGATTAATTGAAAATCATTATTTTTGAGTATTAAAATTTAAATCTCAAATTAGCTTTTCATGGTTGAATACTGCCATGCTTTCATGGTTTTCCTCAAATATGATGAATAAATTGTGATGTTTGAAAGCCTGACTGTCAGCCATGCAGTGGTGGTGCACGCTTTTAATCCCAGCACTTGGGGGCAAAGAGAGGTGGATCTTTTTAAGGTAGAGGCCACCCTGGTTTACATAGTAAGTTCCAGGACAGCCAGAGCTACATAATAGAGAGACCCTTTTTCAAAGAGAGAGAGCACAAGAAAGAAAACCTGATGACAGTAGCAGTATAATAATAACTTCCCCTCTTCCCCTCAGCATCAATACCAACACTATTCCTTGAGGGCTCACTGTATATCAAACATGATATCAAAATGATTCTAAGATTAATACACTCAAGTCTATCAATGATCCTATGTACTATTGATATCCATAAGAAGAAACTGGGGCATGCTGGAGAGATGATGGCCCAGTGGTTAAGAGAACTGGCTGCTCTTCCAGAGGACTGGGTTTGATTGCCAGCACCCATGTATAGGCTCACAATTGTAACTCCTGTTCCAGGAAATCAAACATCCTCTTCTAGAACCAAGCACATAGTACATAGACATACATGAAGCAAAACACACCACACACACACACAGAGAGAGAGGGGGGGGGAGAGAATTGAGGCAAGAAAAAGTTAACTAATTTCCCTAAAGTTAGTTTCAATTGAGATGCTTCCACTATGGTTGACAAAAACTGCCAACAGGAAATACACATTATGTGATAGTACAGGGCAGAGGTGTGGCAGGTTTTTGTATAGCTAGTTCTCCCAGCAGAGTCATCTACAGTTCTGCCACTGTGCAAGAAGAGAGGGAAGGCCATTGTGCCCCTAGCAGGATCTGCCCCTGCTGATCAGCAGAGAATGAGTAAGAGCAATGTCCACTGTGCATCGGAGCCTCTGTTTCTATTGGATTTTCTTGGCTTGCTTGCTTGCATACTTGCATCCTTCCTTTCTTCCTTCTTCCCATCCCTCTCTCCCCTCTATTCCTGCCTCCCCTCCCTTTCCCTCCCTTTCTTCCCTATCCCCTCTCACAGCTGATATTTTAGAAACAAAAGGTGGTAATAAGTTTGATCAAATTGATGGGTACATGCAGAAAGTGACCTCCCTTACTAACTTTAAGACGCTTGCCATTATAGAGCCTTGGAAGGAATGTTCAAAGGCTGGCTCCTGGCCTCTGCAGATGCATCAGGAGTAGAGTTTGACAGTCAGCTACAGGATGGTGATTGTCTAAAGTAGGGCTCAAGCCTTCTGGCTTTAGAGGCTGTTAGAGTTTCTTCAAACTGTTGACAGCATCAGAGAGCTTTGGTTTACATTCATCACATCTACTGACAGTTGTCGTAGTCAAAATTAAGAAGTAGAAATTAAAGCCGGGCGTTGGTGGCAAACTCCTTTAATCCCAGCACTCAGGAGGCAGAGGCAGGTAGATCTCTGTGAGTTTGAGTCCAGCCTGGTCTACAGAGCTAGTTACAGGACAGGCTCCAAAGCAATACTGAGGAACCCTGTCTTGAAAAACCAAAATTAAAAAAACAAAAAAAGAAGTAGAAATTAAATATATAATTATGACTTCTTTAGCATAATAATTAAAATTCATGTGTTAATATAAATAACAAACTTCAAAGAAAAGGTAGCCATGTTTTTCAGAACTTAAATTTTAAGGTGAAAATTGTTACTGTTTTTTGCAAATCCTTCTTTATGCCTGGCTTAAAGGCAGGCAGCTGACTCATCCTAGTGGCTTCTTCATGCTAGTAGTCACAGCCTGGAGCCAGGGAGCACTCCAGTGAACTTTTGTGAGATAATTATAGAGAAAATGAAAACTCCTAGTATTACTATGAAAAACTAAGTTTCCTCTTGTGAATTCCCCCACACGTGTTCTGGAACCCCAAGAGTCCTCACCTCACAGCAGGAGAATCTCCATCTTGATGTGCTGCCATTGGATATACCCATCTATAAATTATAATCATCTGTAGCAATAGCACAGGATAAGATATTACGATAATAGACTTAAGTACATCATATCTCAGGAAATTAGAGAAAGCACACAAAGATGGGGTCAAATCCATCTCATGCATAACCAGATGTTCCAAAAGTTTCTGTATTGAATGATCTCTTGCAGTATCATAAATATAATCGAATTTACCTCCAAATAGGTGTGCTTACTTACCTCTCTATTCTCTTTCCAGACTTACTATTTCGGATAATTTAAAGGTTGGCTTTTTCTCTTCAGACCACGCTACTCAGACAGATAGCAGTGAAATTTTGCCATTGAAAGATTTGACTCAATCAACAGAAAAATTAATGCAGGTAGACCTGGGTGTAATTTCTAAGATAACTTTGTATATTATTTCTCTTTACAGGATAAATTTTGTTTGGGGAAGGGTTGGTATACTATATATCAAATCCAGTACTTTATGCATGCTATGATAATTAAAAAAAACACACACTTAGCAGTGAACAACATCCCTACACCTGTGGCTTTATATGCCTTTTATTGGCAAAACTGAAAAGATTGAGATTGTCTCAAAATAATAAGGTCTTTGTGAAACTGAGCAGGATGACAGTTATATTCTGTTTAAGTTTTAAAGATTTAATTTTAATTTTGTGTACATGTGTGTTTTGCCTGCATGCATATCTATGTCCCACATGTATGCCTGGTGCTCTCAATGATCTAAATGGATCAGATCCCCTGAAACTGCTATCACAGATGGTTGTGAGCTGCCATGCAGGTGCTGAGAGCTGAAGGCAGTCCTCTGCAAGAACAATAAATCACTGAGTCATCATCCCAGCCCCCAGTTGTACTTTATAATTGATCTAAGTTATGACTTATACTTGTCATTTTTATGTCATACGTATGTGTTATGAGCAGTTTCCCTCCAGCCTGGTCCCAGAACCATGTCAGTCCAAAATAACACAGAGATGCTGTATTATTTATAAAGCTGTTGGCTCGTTACTAGCATTTCTTATTGGCTACATCTGTCTTAAATATTAATCCATCTCTATCAATCTAAGTGTTTCCCCATGGTCTTGGCTTACCAGGAATGTTGGAACTGCATCTCCTTTGCCTGCTACATCTCTGCAGAAAAGAGAGCAATTTCCTATTTGTCCCTGCTTATATTCTTCTGCCCAGCTACGTCACTTCCTGCCTGTCTGTACAGACCTCCAGACATCTATGGTTAGCTAATGGCAGTATCTGCCATGCTATGTCACTTCCTGCCTGGCCAATCAGTGTTTTGTTTATCAACCAATAAGATAAACATATATACAGAAGAACATTCCCCATCACATATGTGAATCTATTCAGTAAAATTTCCATTCTTTTGACATATGTGAATTCTTTCTGCTTATGATACATTAAGAAACAGAAAGTATTTTACATGTAGATAAATGAAGACAGTGAGATATTGAGTAACTTGCTAATGGTATAGCTTTGTCAAATCGTATCATTTCCCTCGGATCTTTTGAGACTGAAAAAATAGAGTATTTCATAAATATAAGATATTGAGTTATTAAAACTATCACAAGAAGTAGCTGATGAAAACAGAAGCAGACACCTACAGCTAAACACTGAGCCGAACTGGAATCCAGATGCAGAGAGGGAGGAGTGATAAGAAAATGGGGATGAGATCAGGCTACAGAAACTCACAGAGACAGCTGACCTGAACAAGGGGGAGCTAATGAACCCCCCAGGCTGATAGCTGGAAACCAGCATTGGACTGACTCAGACCCCCTGAACATGGGTCTCAGTTAGAAGGCCTGGGCAGTCTAAAGAACCTCTAACAGTGAAACCAGGATGTATCACTGGTTCACAAAAGGACTTTGGGAGCACATTCCCCATGGAGGGATACTCCCTTAACCTAGTGGCAAGAGGGAGGGCCTAGTCCTTTCTCCAAATGACTTGACAGATTTTGTTGATCCCTCCTGGAAGGCATCACCCTCCCTGTAGAGTGGGGTTGGGAATGGGATGAGAAGGTGTTCAGGGGGCATGGGAGAGAGGGAGTGAGGGAGGGAGAGGGAACTGGGATCGATATGTAAACTAAGATAAATAAATAAATACTACCACAAGAAGCAGGATACTACTACAAATTGTGCCTTGTTTTTATTTTCCACCCATATCTATGCGTAAATATAGTTGAACAGGGTAACACATGCCTGAAATCCCAGCTAATCAGGAAGCTGAGACAGGAGGATAACTTGTTTGAGGCCAACCTGGTCAAATACATGAAACACTGTGTCAAGAATTAAAAAGGAAAAAAATCATCTGGAGAAGGAGCTTAGTGGGATAGAGTGCTTGTCCAGCTTGGACAAGGTCCTGGGTTCAATACCCAGTATCTTATTTATTTCACAACTACAAGTTATACATACACCATATATTCACTATCCCCTCCCTGTGTTGATAGACATTTGGTAGTTTCTAATCTTTCTCTGTGATGATTAATCCTGCATGAGCTCAAGTGCCAGTAAGTCTGTGGTGTAAATTCTTAAAAGAGAACTTGTGAGTCAGAGGATATGTACATGAGTCACTTTGAAGGGCATTGCCTAGTTGCCCTGCTGAAAATTACCAATTTACACTAAGAGCTTTTGAAGACGTTGCCTTGCCACATGCTAGTCAATTTATTGTCTTCTTTTAGAATGACATATGTTCTGGCAGCATCTTTATGATTTTCTTTCTCAGTAGCTAGGTATGCTCGAGTTAAGTTTTTGTCAGGAAGATTTAGATGGCAGTGGTGGCAGGAAGCTTTGGGAACCTTGTACCTTGTACAGTTGTGCAGTTCACAAGCACTGGCTTGCCTGCTCTTGCCTCCATTTCTGGCCCCTGCTTCTCACACCTCTATTTTCTGCCCCAGGATTTTATCTAATCCTAAGTACATCCCTGAGTTCGAGTTCCCACCTGTAAACACCATAGTCACACTAAGATTTCACATTGCCTTAATGTTTCATGATGGAGATTAAATTCTAACCAAATTTTGGAAGGAGCAGGCTGTCCTCAAACCATACCACTGCACTAGCATATCATTCTGAAGACTTGGACATGGCAAGGGAGAATTATTGAAGTTCTCCAAAATACTATATCAGAGAGATAATCTTCAAAGGTAAACCAGGCACCAGGTCTAATGCTCCAAAACAAGGAATTGCTGGAATATTGGTGCCCAGAGCCCCACTCTCGACACTGATAAATGATTTTGATTTTGTAGATGATTACATCACTTCAGGTGGATTTTGGGTTCCTCAAAGATTTGGTTCAACTGAAGTTCGAGGACCGACTTAAAGAGGAGTCTTGGAAAATCCTCAATGTGCTTCATGACAGGATTTCAGAAATGAAAAAATATTATCGACAGGTAGGTTCTCTCTCGTTTCCTCTCCCACATGGATTGATTCTATGTTGGATGTGTTTGGGTTTGGAGGTAGGCTTTTATCAGGATGCTGGCAATTATGTAAAATGTGTCTCTAGGAGCTAATACTGTCAGGAACTTGGGTGAAGGCTTCATGTGTTACCTTAGTCATCCTCACATTTACCTTGTACAGTTGTGCAGTTGGTATGATTGTTACTGATATGGAAACAGGTTCTTTTGCCTATACATAAGAAGGGTTAGATCCACTGGAACTGGAATTACAGTGATTTTAAGCATCTGTGTGGGTTTGGGGAATCAAACCTGGGTCCTCTGGAAGAGCAGCCAGTACGCTTACTTGGAGCCATCTCTTCAGTCACAAGCCATTGGCTTTTGATTAGAATTATAGTACCTAGCATGAATTCTTTCCTGTGGAACCAGATTCAAATCTAATCAGAAAAGAAAGAAAGAAAGAAAGAAAGAAAGAGAAAGAAAGAAAGAATGAAGAAAGAAATTACCCTCATAGAAGCCACTCTGTGATTAGAGCCATGTTCACATCTTTCCTGGCAGGTCAGTGTTACACCTGCAGGGTCTAATACTGGATAAGTCCACAGATGGCTTTGCTCCCCCAGTGGCCTGCATAGTGTCCTTTGGCATTATGAAAATTAATCAGCAGGGAACAAGTTTCCAAGTCTGTTCCAGCTTGGTTTCTCTATGCACTAAAACAAAATGTTCTGTGTTTCCAGGAGTGAGGGCCTCATCATATAGTTAAAATGGACAGGTCAGAGCAATGACACTAGCCTGTGTTGTTCTGGAGGCCTCTGGAGCCTCACTTAGCAAGAGGTCCCACATCTGACATTGAGATTTTCACTTAATAGTTGTCCACTGATACAGTTGTCCACTCCTTCTTTAAGCACACACACACACACACACACACACACACACACACACACACACACACACACACACTGGAGGGGGCGAGAGAAATAAGTTTTCATAAAGTTTCTTCACACATCCTCATGTTTGGTTAAGCCACTTTCCAACATTCCTGCCTGAACCCCCATGCCCCTGCTCAAGCCTTTAACTCCCTACACTATTTTATTGTTCTTTTGAAATTATAATCACAATATTTCCCTTTCCCCTTCCACCCTTCAAACCCTCACATGCACCCTTCCCTACTCTACTTCAAATTAATGGCCTCTTTTTTTCATTAATTGTTATTATTAGTCCATATACTGTTGCCTGTATGCATGTTTTCAGGGCTGACCATTTGACACTGGACAGCCAACTGTTGTGCTCTTCCTTGGGAGGATCACCTCCCCCATCCCCAGTTTTCCTGGGTTGCCTATAGCCTTGTGTATGGTTGAGGTCTCTTAGCTCATAGGCTTTTCCCCCACCAAGTTCTGCGTGTCCATTGGTGTCAACCCTGCCCAGCTCACATTTGGCCAGTCACATTGGTACCCTGCCCTACATTTATGTCACATGTGCTCTGCATTTCTCCCCAACTTAAGTCCTCTTCTTCTCTTTCTACCACAGGACCTCTCTAGCTTCCTAACCACTGCAGACACTGCAAGTTGAAGAAACAAATAAAAAGAAAATTCAAAGCTAAGCTAAGATGCACATGTGTGAGAAAACATGTTATTTATCTTTTGGGGTATGGGTGACTTCAATAGTGTATTTTCCAGTTCATCCACTTTCATGTCAATTTCATTATTTCTTTTTTACGGCTGAATAAAATTCCATTGTGTAGATGCAGCATATTTTCGTTATTAGTCATCAGTTGGTAGACATTTAAGCTGATTCCATTTCCTATTGTTAGTACAGCAACAATGAACATGGATGAATGAGAATCTCTGTGAGAGGACTGGAGTCCTCTGGGTATGTGGTATAGCTTGGTCATATGGTAGCTCTATTTTTAGCTTTGTGTGAACCCTCTACACTGCCTTACAAAGTGGCTGTACCAGTTTAGACTCCCAACATCAGGTTCTTGCCTGGCACCCTGGACAGCATTTGTAATCTTTTGCTTACTTGATGATAGTCATTCTGACTAAGGTGAGGTGAAATCTCAAAGTAGTTTTAATTTGCATTGCCCATAATGGCTAGTAATGTTAGAGACTTTTTAAACACTTATTAGCCATTTGTGGCTTTTATTGTTTTATTGTTTTAAAATTGGATTGTTACCTGCATGTCTGGTTTCCTGAGGGTTTTTTGTTTGTCAGGGTTCTGCAAATTCTAGATCCTGATCATCTGTTGGATGTCCAACCAGCAAAGATTTTCTTCTGCCCTGTTGGCTGCCTCTTCACTCAACTGACAGTTTTCTTGGCTCTATCAAAGCTTTTACTTTATAAAATCCCATTTGCTAATTATTGATCATATTTCTTCAGAGGATGAAGTTCTTCCCATTTAGAAAGTCCTTGCCTATGCCTGTATCTTGGCATGCATGCTACTTTTTTCTCCATCAGTTTCAGAGTGCCAGGTCCTTGATTCATTTGGAGTTGATGTTTGTGCAGGACGAGAGACAAAGAAAGGTATAGTTTCATTCTTCCACATGTTGATATCCAGTGTTCCCAGAATCATTTGCTGAAGATACTTTCCTTCCTCCAATGTGTGTTTTTTAGTGCCTTCGTCAAAAGCCAGACAGCTGTAGTTTCATAAAGTTATATCTCAGTTTTCTATCCTACTCTATTGATACACACACATCTGGTTTTGTCCAGTACCATGCTGTTTGTATTACTGTGCCTCTGTAGAATAAATTGAAACCAGACAAGATGATACCTCCAGTTGTATTCTTTTAGCTCAAGATTGTTTTGGCTACCCAGGGTTTAATGGACATCGTGTGAATGTTAAGATAGTTTTTCCTATGACTGTGAAGAACGAGGCTGGAACTTAGGTTGGGATTGCAGTGACTAGGTTTGCTTTTGTTTGGAATACCATTTTTGTAGGTTTGATTCTTCTGACCCATGAGCATTTCCATTTTCTACTGTCTTCCTCAGTTTCCTTCTTCAGTGCTTAAAGGTCATAACAATTCCTAGGTTAGCTTTATTCCAAAGCTGGGCTGGGATTTCCTTCCTTCCTTTCTCTCTTTCTTCCTTCTTTCCTTCCTTTCTTTCCTTCTTTCCATCTTCCTTCTTCCCTTCCTTCCTTCCTTTCTCATTATTATTTATTTGTTTTGAGGCTATTGTTACTGGAATTACTTCTCTGATTTATTTTAAGTATTTTTGTCATTGGAATTTAGGAAGGCTACTCATTTTTATATGATGACACTAGGAGTTTTTTGGTGAAATCTTTACTGTCTTTTAGGTATAGAATCATACCATCTACAAATCAAGGGTATCTCAATTTATTTTTTCTATTTGTATCCGTTTTACAAAATTATCATTATTATTATTATTATTATTATTATTATTATTATTATTATTGTTATATGTGGTACACAAACATAAATGCCAGAAAGTCACCTATACACACAAAAACAGTTACAATTAAAAACAAAAGAGTATATGGACTACAAGCACATGTGAATATCAGTAATCTTATTCTTTTTCTAAGTAATTCTAGGAACACTCTATAAGACTTTAGTTTATGTGTACAATGAAACATTGTCAGGTTATCTGTATTTTATCCACAGCATCTTTGTATTGCTTTTGGATAATCACAAATAAAAATTAAACATGCTACAATAGCTTCAGTATAGAAGAAATGGTGATATATTGAAATTCTTAAGAGGCTGATGCGTTGGATGGTGAATCGTTGCTATGCCTCCTTTCCCAGAAGATATGGGCTGGATTCGGAAGTGCAATGATGCTTAGTACATTTATTTTTGGTTTGCAGGCTGAAGACACCTTGAGAAAAAGTTTTCAACAGCAGTTAAGTGATGCCATAGCCGTTATCAGAGGAATGTACAAGGTGGGTTTTTAATTCTGCCAAGGACAAGGCAAGTTTTGGCTCCTGCATGAGCAGAGAATAGAGCTCACTTTGAGTTCCAAGTCACTGTTTTTGGCTTTGAAGGTAGGTTCCCTCAAATTTCAGGTCATCTCAGAGAATTCAGGCTTGGACTGCTCATGTTCACATTAAGTATACCAAAATAACACTATATGATGGCAGGTAAAACTTTTTAGAAACTGGAAAATTGTGCTCATTTCCCTGGCACCTGGGCAAGTAGCCAAATCATCCGAAGTTCTGTAATGAAGATGCAACTGGATAGAAAACAGTCAGATAAGATTAGAGTTCAAAAGACATGTCACTAACACCAATGGCCTCTCTAATGACAGATACTGCTGTGCTTCACTCTCTCACACAGTGGGGAAATGCACACTTCTGGAGATAATTTTTAGACTTAGCAAACACCCGATGCCTCTCTTTGTATTTACAACTACAATCTCATCTTTCACTTCCATACCCTTCAATGCATAGTTATTTATACTTATAGCTGACCAGTTCAGTGATCACTGCATGGCATTTGGCACTCCTTCATTTAACTATGTAACTGCATGTTCCATGCTAGAAGACAAGGATGATGCCTTTCTCGTTGATGTGGCCCTTCTCTTAGCTCTATGCATGACACGTGGCTGAGCATGAGTTAGTACCCATGAGTGGATGCTTTCTAGAGCCTGTTGTAAATTTTGGTGTTGCTTGCTTCCCACCCATCCTCACCAACTGCCCATCCTCTCCTCTTCTTTAAACTCACAGAAGCTCTTCCAACTTTATAAACTATGAAAACATTATTTCCAGCTTAGCTTTCCTTTAAACAGTGACCTGACCCATGGGACAGCAGATGAGTTGCTGTAAGGCTTAAGGAAATGCTGATTGAATAAACTTGCCTTCGTTTGGTTTCTATTATTATTATTATTATTATTAATTTTACATGTCGATCCCAGTTCTGTCTCCCTCCCACCCTCTAATGCCCTCTGAACTCCCACTCCCATCCCGTTCCCCACCTACTCCACAGGGAGGGTGATGCTCTCCAGGAGGGATCATCAAAATCTGTCAAGTCATTTGGAGTAGAGACTAGGACCTGCCTCCTGTTTCTAGGCTAAGGGAGTATCTCTCCATGGGTAATGTGCTTCCAAAGTCCTTTTGTGCACCAGTAATACATCCTGGTTCCACTGTCAGAGGTCCCTGAGTCTGCCCAGGTCTTCTGACTGAGGCCCATGTTCAGGGGGTCTGGGTCAGTCCAATGCTGGTTTCCCAGCTATCAGTCCAGGGGTCCAGGAGCTCTTCCTTGTTCAGGTCAGCTGTCTCTGTGGGTTTCTGTAGCCTAGTCTTGACCCCTTTTCTTATCACTCCTCCCTCTCTGCAACTGGATTCCAGGAGTTCGGCTCAGTGTTTAGCTGTAGGTATCTGCTTCTAGATGAAGGCTTTCTGTGGCAGACATCAGAACCAAAAGCAATCTGGGAGGAAAGTGTTTATTCAGTCTTACAGCTTACCTTCCATCATCAAGGAAGCCAGGACAAGATCCCAAGGCAACATCCTGGAGGCAGGAACTGAAGCAGAGGTCATGGAGGAGTGCTGCTTACTAGTTTGCTCTCCATGGCGTGCTCAGCTTGCTTTCTTATGTGATCCAGTAATACTCAGTGCTCTTCACTCTTCCATATCCGGACCTCACTGCTTCATCTAGAGTAGATTGGCAGTGAGTTCCTAGGATCTGCCTGTCTGCACTCTCCCAAGGGCTGGGAGTATTACTGACATCCAGCTCTACTCAGCTGTCATGAGCATGCAAAGGATCCAAACACAGGTCTTCATACTTCTGCACTAAGTCCTTTATCCATCTTCCCTGGCCCAGGTCCTCCTTTTACTTTGCTTAACATTGCTATGTCACTTTCTGATAGGTAGAGTGCTTACAGCAACCAGGGAACTGAGACACATTGTGAGTGCTGAAGTGGCAAGGTTGAACGATAGAAGTAATGCTACTAAGCAACTGGTGTAACTTGCCCTTTTGCTTGAGATAATAACCCTCATCTTTTAGCCACTGCTAGCTGGATGCTCAGTTACTTGCAGGTACAAACTTCTTGAGACAACTGCTTTGTAAACAGTCTTTGGGCCTCTGTGCCAACCATGTCTCTAGATGACGTCGTGTGGCTATGTCCCACTCACCTGCTCTTCTGCAATATGGCTTTGCTTCCCTCCTGACCAGAGGCAGGGCCTGGTTTCCCTACTTGTAGTCAGAGGTGGCTTTAGTGGCTTGATATAAGCAAGACCTAAAAGAAGAGAAACTGCAGAGCTTCTGAAGTAAGGCCAGAAGAAATCTTGAAAGTTACCTTCAGACTCTTCAAAAGGAGGGCTCTCTGCACATTCTCTGAGCTCAGCTTAACCCATACAGAGAGTCTGGCTGCAGGTACTGGTCCAGGCTCATCTAAGCTTGGATATTTAGTCTCTAATCTCCACCATCACTTGCATGGGTAGAGAAATGTCCGTATGATATCAGCTACAAGCAGTTAGGGAGAGAGGCTATGGACCTGTGCATCCTCTGCTACACAACAACTCTGCTATTGCTGCCCCAATTCCCTCCCCTACAATGTCACATCAACATAATAAACAGCTGTGTCTTATGTTGCTGCATTTGGGAAGCTGTGTTATGCATTAGCTGATAAATCGGACAGGATCCTTCTGCCCACAGCAACATGCAATTTCTTGGTTGCACTTATCAGATAGAGTGCTTTGCCCATGGTTTTCAACTTGCACAGATTAGTTAAGAGTCAGCAGAGTGTATGTTTTAGAGCAAATGCTACAGAGGTAAACAGCCTGGGTTCAAATCCTGGTTTTGCCACTTCATTGCTATGTAACTTTGAAAAAAGTACTTGATTTGCTGCTTCGGGTCTCTCTGCTATAAAATGAAGATAGCAATAGTCCATACCACACAGACAGGCAAGCTCCAAGAGTAAGACTGATTGATCTTTCTCTCTCTTTTTTTTATTAATTTATTTTTTACATTCCAATCATAGTTCCTCCTCCCTCTTTTCCTCCCACTCCCTCCACTCTCCACTCCTCCCATCTGTTCCATGGAGAGGGCAAGGCCTCCCATAGGAAGTCTACTAACTCTATCCCATCATCTCATTGAGGCAGGACAAAGGCACCCCCCCAACCCCAACACCCCTGTGTCTAGGCTGGGCAAGGTATCTCTCCATATCAAATATGCTCCACTAAGTTAGTTTGTGCATTAGTGTTAGGTCTTGGACCCACTGCCAGTGCCCTCATATATTGTCCCAGTCACACCATTGCCAACCATATATTAAGGGAGTCTAGTTTAGATCAATTGATTTTTGCAAAGCATTTAGAACCAGACCACAGCAGGTAAATCTAAGTGTTAAATAGACAGCCTCACATACACACAGTACTCTTGTCTTAGTGTTGCTGTGCTTTTCTGTTTCTCGTGATCCTGGCTTAGCATGTAGGGTCACAACCTTCTGCCTACTGACTGAGAATATGATAAAATGCCCTTACAACCTCCATAACTACCATTTACATTTGTTATGTTGAATCATATGAAATTCCCATTTAGGGAATCAAAAGGTCAAATAACTCTTTTATGTGGGACCTAGCTTAAATAATTACAGATATTTTTAATAAATCTAAAGCAAAGAAAACAATAAATCACATGAGAAATGTAACTTTAAATAAAACAAATCTTGGCATACAACATTTTTAAATGAATGCTCTGTGGTATGATTCTCTGGATACAGACTTTATAGAAATGGGTAAGGATAAACAGAGAGGGCGATCATAAACAAATCACAAAATATAGTGGGTATGTGCAGATAAGCAAATAAGTAGGATTTATGGGAATACCACAAAGGAACAGTTATTTCTGCTCATGAACTTTGTGAAGATTTTGCTGAGGAGTTAATAGTTATTCTGGAATAAAGTGCTCAGAGCAGGCGGGCAAGAAATCTAATGGGAGTCTAGGCAAACAGTTATACTAGCATATATAGGAATATTTTTTTGTTGGCAGGTGATAGAAATATAACTTACTTGGTATCAGCCCCTTCCTCAAGCCAGTCCAGCACCACACCCAACCCAGGACATAATGTTGGAGAGGCCAACCCAGAAGGAGGGATGCTACTTAAGTAAAAGTGATTGAGCAAAGTGGGTCCCCACATAATACAATGTGAAAGAGAAGCTGGGACCTCACCAGACACTTGTACACTGCCACAGTCACTGGATGTGGCATTGGCCCATGTGGTAACTACTAGTCACATGTGGCTTCTGAGATTGACGTGACAAATTCAGTCTGTTACTTCTATCTCTTTAACTCCTTATATGTCTCTCAAAGTAGTGTTACTAATATTTGGTGTTATTAATAGATTATAGAAGGTATATATCTCAGCTAGAAGTGAGTGTTCTTGCGGTCTAGATGCTAAGCCCAGACATGCCTAAGCATCTAGAGCTGCACCTATCCTGGTTATTTACCTTAAATATTGGGATGAAGTTTCTTCTACCCATTTTTACCTTGTGGAGAGTGTTTGAAAGGCATCATCAGCATCTGCATATTGTGGCTGAAGAATACAAGACACAGTGTGTTAAGCAAAATGCTCACAGTCATAGGGGTGGCTAGTGATAGAGCTGAGAGTCAATTCTTATGTCTCTACAGTTATTCTATAGACCACAGGGTAACTATTTCAAACAACACACTGGACAAAAGGAGAAAGGGGTAACCTCCAAAGGGAAACACCATGAAAGTTTTTGTTCACAAAAGTCCCTTAGGACCTAGTACAGTGATCAGAAAAATATAATGTTTTAGTGAATATTTTATGGAGGAAAATATTGGAGAAAATATGGAGAAAGAGGAACAGAAAAGAATCAAGGGGAGGTATGCATGATCTGTAGTGGCTTAAGTATTGACTTGTGTGGTAAATAGGAGGAAGAAAACTTCTACTTTAAATGAAAAGAATTAAAGATGTTTCTCAGAT